CCCTTTTCCATCCTACTTGATTTCCATTAATGTTTTATAGTGAGCATTTCCCATGTCAAGAAGTAGTCTCCAAAAATGAGATTTATATTGGCTCATCATCCTTCAGATGATTCTTTTTTTAAAGTTCATCTCTTTTAAGCAAATGTGTTATTTAGAATACGGAGCCCTTTCCACATAGCTTGGTGAACATGTAAAATAATGCATCGTTCTCAGCTCAGATGATTCTCTAGGACTATCTTCTTTCGATCTTTATCCTTTGTGTAGTTTTGAATCCGGATACATAATTTTCCTGCCAGAAGTTAGTGCTTACTTCTCATTTATTCTCATTTCCTGTTGCTTTCAGAGCTCCGCAGAGAGAAGGCGCTCTATCTGCTATCTCTAAGACATGTGGCTTCCCAGGGCAGATTGTTTATTTAATGAAAAAGATAGGAGAGAGGCCCACTCTATTTGTTTGGAGTTATATAAATATTCTTAAAAAGGAGGATTTCCTCATTTATTCCACTTTAGCCTTCCTGTGCAGGGAGCATTTTCAATGCACCTTTCATCACTCTGTGATGACAGCTTGAGTTCCAATTTGATAATTGTACCAAATATCTCAAAGACATTGGAAATAAGCAAGGTAAAATGGAGCGAAAATTCTGAATTTCTCTCCATATACATTATAAATGCCCAGTGGTCACATATATATATCCTTAAAACAGTGTATCATTACAGACCAATCGTAAGAGCAGTAGAGGCTGGGCTATAATACTAGCTGAATGTGGGTGGAGATTGCAAAAGAGGAGACTGACAAATAATTGTTTTATGTGTCAGTCTTATAGCTCTATTTCCCACTTCACATTCTCTTCACATGAAGTGTGCTCGCCATGTTACAGTCGAAGTTGAAAAATTCTTCAAAAGGCACCAAAATAGAATCTTTTCAATCAGAAGCCATATATTGTACATTCCCTTTGACATTATTTTGTGACTTCAGTTTTAAAATAAAAATAGAACTCAGATAACGTTGCTACTAAATCTTAAGCTATTTTGCATGATTCAAATACAATTCTCAAATATGTAACTAAGATGGGACACAGAGGACCACCAGGAGAACAGAAACAGCGATGATTAAAACAGTAATGAAAATAACATTTAATAATAAATGCTAATGCTTAATGGAATAAATTTTAATACATACTATTTCTGGAAAGATTACATACAATGCATATAATGTTTATAATACACATCTTATAATAATTGTATGATATTGTATATTTGATACATCTTTTTATAATGCATAATATGTACTATTTACAAGATACATATGTATTTAATATAATAAAATAACATGATAGTATTTTGTGACTGATGTGTTTTATGACCCATGTTATAGGCTTTATATATTATCTCTTTAATCCCTGTGCCTCTCAGTGAGGCAGGCCCTACTTCATCTCCTTTCTCACGTGGGAAAACGGAAGGAACAATGTCGCAGGATGGTCACAACCACAGACATACGCAGGGGTGAGTCGGGCAGAGCCCTGCTCGTACTGGACCCCACACTTGTCTCTAACCTCATTATATTAAAAAGCAGACCACTCAGAGAAGTATTACCCTGACTTTGCATTTTTTTCACAAGACTCTGATTTTTGAATTAGATTTACCTTAAACATTCTGTTTAGCTTAGTATAATATTGAATTGATACTGTCGCTCGAGGGCAGAGAGTTTGCTGGGCGAACAGTGCTAACCAGGGCTGGGGGTTTTAATTTGCAGAGGCTAACCTAAAGAGTAACCAAGTGTGTAGCTAGTGGCAAAGACATTGCAAACTGGGAGGGAGAATATTTTGAGACAGTTTTGACAGGACTACTGTCGGTCCCTGGAAAAGAGTTAGTATTTGGTTTTATTGAAAATGACTTGGTAACAATTTTAAAACCTTGTTCTAAGAGTAAATTATATTTACTATAAAGTCTATTACTGTTACTTCCACAAGGAGAAAGAAATCCAGATGAAAATAAAAATAATAATCAAGAAGATGTTATAACACGTGATCATTGTTAGTACAATAAATATCAATGTTTTACAGTAGAATGTTAGTACAACAGAACCATGTTTTCTTCTTTATTGAAAAAGCTCTACAGACTCTGATGGCAAAATCCTCTGATGATAAACTCGTATGAAAAGATAGATGGGAAACCACTATGTGAAATCCCCGAGAGGTAACTACCAGCCTGCATTTACTTTCCAGAAATTAGCACAAAAATAACTGAGGCACCATTGTGTCGAAAAGAGGAGAAATGGAGACTGAATCATGAGAGGTGTGTGATTCAGTCCTTACAAAATTACAGCGACTTTCTAAGTCATTTAATCATATGCTAATTAATCTGGAGTCCCGATCGATAGTAATGGTACAAATACCACTTGGACAATATTTTTGGCTCCTGATAGAACCTTAGTTTCTACTTCTTCATTACTGAGGAAATAAATGTAATTTAGTTTTCTAGTCAGACCGAACAGTTGCACTGAACATTGGAATTCCTAAGAGATTAAAAACCTGCATCCTTTTATACCAGTTTTGTCTTTTGAGTCTAAAATGTTACGAGAGTAGCCTAAACGTAGTCAGCTGGGCATTTTATATTGTTGAGGTTTGAATTACATTAGGGATTTTTCATTTTATAAGGTGAATTACATTTTATAGGTGAATACCAGTTACTGATTTTTTTTCTCAGAACTTTTTTTTATAGTACTCTAAACATTCTAGTATAAAAATAGTGAAGTCAGAATCTTCAAAATGGCTATCCCAGCTCAGCATAATTACTTAAAGAAAAGAAGTTAAAAGAAGCATACAATCATTATCTACATCATGATACCCGTAAGCGTAGATGACCCTGTTTAAGGAGGAAACATACTCAAATCACAGTGGAACAGCCGGGAAAGAAAAATGTCATGGGCTCAATGTTATGTAAGCGACACATCATGTTTTCTTTAAATAATAATAAGAGGCTGTCAGGTGTTTTATTGCAGCTTCTTGAAGTTGACACATGATCTTCAGCTTTGTGATGCATGATACGTGATTTTCTTGCAAAACCAGGAGTTGCCCTGGTTTTGTTCTGCAGTGAAGTGCATTCATTATTCTGCTATTCTTTTTGTTTAGAATTTTGGACGTTATTTCCAAGAGAGTCGGAGTTTGAAGTGCCTGAAAGTCTTTGATCTCCAAAAGGTAAAGGAAGTTGCTTTATGTCAAACGTTACGATAAAAGCAAAGTAAAAACCAAACAGACGCTGAATAAACACTGGGTAGACTTAAAGAGTTTCGTTTGTGTTCATCTCAAGCATACATGGAATCCTTATTAAACTGTATTAACTTGTGCAATAAATGTCACGAAAGAATCATGGCTCTGGAAGCTCCTTGGTTCCTTTAGGGAGAACCACATCCAAAAACAAACTGAAGAGAGAGAAAGCATAATTATGCAAGACACGAAGGGGAGGCTTTACACGTTCCCTCGGCAGCAGCTCCCGTGCTCAGCTGTTATACCTGTACTGCCTGCTCCTTTTACTGTCACATCCGACAAGCCTTTGCTTTCTGCTCTGTCCCCAGGTTTGGGTGACACAAGTCTACCACTGACGCATGCCAGATGTTTCTCTGATCTAGATGGCTGGTTCTTCTCTGTCTTTCTCCTCAGGATGAAGAATTATAATCACTTGGGACTGTCACTTTTTTTAATCAAACCTTTCATCACCATGAAGATTTTCTTCTGTGCCTTTCCAAGATTCTCTACAGCGTTCAGAAACTACGGCTCATTATCACTGACATGAGTAAGTGCCTTGATTTCCTAGTTACGGTTTTCTTGATAAGAGTTCTCTTGAGATACCTTTGAGTTGTTTCCATCTACCAGTCTCATAATTTTATATGACTTCTCCCTTCTCCCTTTGCATTTTCTAGGATACTATGACAAGAAAGTAAACGGGGGTGAATTGAAATAGTGTGGAATAAAAGCTCTGTGCTTTGAGAGAGAAGGCTCATGCATTACTGAGTTTCTTTACTGTCAGAATAGAAAGAAGGGCTATTCTTTATTTTGCAAATACGAGACTTGAATCCCAGGACTTCCGTTAGCTCAGTAAACATCCGTTTAACGAAATATTTGCAACTTACTGCTATCGACAGAGTGTCAGGAATATGGAGTGATGTCATTAGTGTTTCTAGGTCAGTTCCGAGTCCGCATCACACAGAAGTCCACTCTCAGATCTGATCTATTTTGTTCCATGGCTGATTTGGACATTTCGTTCTCATTTTCTGCTCCTAATTTATCTTTGAGCGATGCTTGCTGCTGTAACCGATAGCCACTGGGTTTCGGTCCCAGAATTTCTCACTGACTGGTTTCCCTCCATCAGTCAATACAGGGATTCACTCCTGAAGTAGGTGGTATGTCCTGCAATTAGGCTGTAGAGCAAAAGTCCCGCATGCTGAAAGTTACTGAGAATATTTTAAACGGCCACGATGTACACTGAACATGATTCTGTGCATAAAAAATCAAATAGTAAGAGCATATATACACTAGAATATGGAAAGTACTAAGCTGGGCTGATGGGGATGGGTAAAGAAGCTCTGTAACATGCGTAGGTTTCCATGCAAACCAGCCTTCCTTTAGGACAGGCATCATATCCCCAGCCGCGAACTGGAGATGAATGGAGGCGCCTAAAAAGCTCCTTGCTTCCTGGTACCTTTTACTCCATTTCTGTTTTCCCAGCGCACTTCACTCATGCTGATAGCGAAATGAAGGTGACAAGAGACATCGGGGTCATCCCTGCACGTGCAGATGAGGTGCTGTCAGGTTCCAGAGTCGGGGAGCAGCTCAGCTGGGTAACGCTACAGCCGCTCTGCAATTCTCCTTTGAACTGTCGTATGGTTTTATTTACAACTCCAATGGGTTACTTTAGCATCTCTTTGGGTGATTAGTTATTTTATTAGCCATCCTGTAGAGTCCAGGTCTTATATGTATGTTTACCTCGATTAAAAATAGGCACAAAATAAAGGGAGGGTGTAGCTCAGTGGTAGAGCACGTGCCTAGTATGCACGAGGTCCTGGGTTCAATCCCCAACACCTCCATTAAAATAAATAAATAAACCTAATTACTCCCTCCTAAGAAAGAAAACCCCCCAAAATACAAAAAAAAAATAGGCACTAAATAAATTCTTGTCAAATAGCTGAATTAATTCTCACCTACAGCTTTCTAATTTACCCTCTGTAGTCCAGGGCCCGTCCACTCACGTGGGCTCTTACTCGTTTTCTTCCTTCCTTTCATTGTTTCTATTTCCTATCATTTCCATCACACAGCCTCCACTTTCCTCCCTCTGTCCCTCCTTCTCTTTCTCTTTCTCACCTTTCCCTGACACTCCAATTCACAGGTTTCCTGTGTTTTAAAATAAAAACTTGTTTTTATAAGAAAAACAATTAAACGGCTCATCAAAAGTTTAGCAATTCAGAAAAGCAAGTAGGAGAATGCACCGATAAAGTCAACGCCCACTGCTACCATGTGTGAGCATCATTCCAGAGGTCTGCACCAGCCTGTCTGAGGACGGCTGGCTGAGCGGACAACAGTCCCCAAAGCAGCCGCCACCAACACTTGCTGGCACAGCTAAACATGCTCTCAGTCCATATGTATTTATCCCTCTCTTGATGTCATGACTGCAAGTAAGAACTAACCGTATGCTTGCAGAATTGCACCAAATGAAATCTCTGTTGCCCGAAGAGAAGAGACAGGTTTAAATGTGATTTTTTTTCCTAAAATTAATCCAATTACACTTGCCCGGATTTTAAAAGACATTTTTATTCTGATTTAATCAAAATGCAAGTTAGAGATTTAGGACAGCCGCTGGACATTTCGTGGTTAAATAAGTATAACTGTGGTGAACTGTTTCACAACGGGAAATAACGTTTCTGTTTTTCTGTGCCTTAACTCATGTCCTGTGGGTCTTTAATAGTAATATTTAGACTCTTAGATTTTAAAGGACCTTAATATGATATCAAAACTGAGGACCTCATCAATTACTGTTTGGACGTTTCTTTTCCCGGCTGGTTGGCTGGCTGCAGGTGTTAGCCAGGACACTCACCTACGAAAAACTGCTATTGAATCTAAATCAGAGAATCTGTCTTTCAACTTTGCTCCAATCTTATCAGGGAATTTAATGAGCTAGGAACTCAGTCCAGATCACCCCTGGAAAACTGAGCACACGATTATTGCCTATGGGGAGAGATTATTTTCTGAATACATGTGTATAAACAAAGAATAGACTTCAACTTTATTTTTACAATTGCTTTAAAAATAAATTCAGAAGTATTTACTAGAGGTTGTGTTTGAAGTCCAGTTTCCCGTCTTCACTTTAAGGCAAAATTCAATTGGAATTTAAGTCGAATCCGTCAGCACATATATAGCAATGGTGTGAAATCAAGCGAATTCATTACATAGAACTTATGAACATTAATCATTCTAATAACAATTGTTCCAAAGACCTCGTTCTATCCAGAACTTGATTTATTATAGAGAAAATGAAGTAGAAAGATTAAATGAACTAAAATAAACTCAACTTCTCGATGTTATTTTCTTTTATAAAATATTTAGATATCGAGAATAAACACCGGCGAGGAAGCTGCTGAAATCAGATGACAGTGTTCTGTGGGTCTTGTGATTCTAAAGGGCTGCAACTACCTGATAACGGCAGTGTGTTTACACGTCTTCAAGACTATCACGAATGAACTCATCCACAAAACAGAAACAGACCCACAGACCCAGAGAACAAACTTGTGGTTACCAGAAGGGTAAAGGGAGTGGTAAGGGATAAGCCGGGAGTTTGAAATTTGCACCTCTTGGGGAGTGATGGACATGCGAGCTGTCGGGATTGTGGTGGTGGTTTCGTGGGTGGATACACTGATCAAAACTCATCAAAGTGTACATCTGAAATATGTGTGGTCTACTGTGCAGGAACCAGACCACAATGAAGTTGTTTGAAAAAAAAAATGACTATCACCACCCTTTTAAAAACAGACCTGATTCTTCTTCAGCAATTATGTTCAATGGGCAAATAGTACAGTTCTATTTTGCTTTATAATTTCAACTTTGGAACACAGAGCCCTAAATAAATGACTAAGGTGGCTTTAACTCGAATTAAAAGTTACAGTGAGAAATTCAAACTTAAAAGAGTTCATGTATCAATTGTTGATGAAATATAATTAAAAATAAAATCTTTAACCCAGTAAACCTCTTTACAAAGGTGGTAAAGAAGGAAATCAGTTTTATTAGTGAGTATGTATTAAGCCAAAATGCGACACACTGCCCGGGCAATTGGCTAAAAGACTGCGAGGAGGGAAAGGACCCTCACCTCTTAACACAGCCAGGCGGATACAGCCCACTCCAGGCTCGCTGTCAAGATGAACATAGTCCTCGAGGAAGAGGGCTTGAGAGGACCCCGTGTCACACCTGAGTCATCCCAACTTTTCGTGGTAGCTGGGGAGAACCCCTGCGTTTTACCCAGAGGTGAAACAAACTTGTAGTGCATTCAAGCAAGGCTGCAGGGAAGTGAGGCTCTTAACTCCCTCACAGGGATGAGGGGATGAGGATGGGGGGCTGTGTCCCTCAGTGCTTGCATTTCAGAAAGATGGCTTAGAGATCCTTGAGGAAACAGCCCCTTGTCCTGAGACTGGCAGAGACTTATTTAATGATTATAAAGATTTACTAACATTTGAAAAGGACAGAGGAAAAAATTCCAGAAAAAGGGAGAGGGGAGAAGAATTAAGCTTCTTATTTTTTGGCGAGGGGGGCCAATTAGGTTTATTCATTTATTTTAATGGGGGTGCTGGGGATTGAACCCAGGACCTCGTGCACATGAGGCATTTGCTCTACCACTGCGCTATACTCTCCTTCCTAAACTTCTTACTTTCAATTCATATTTGCCCTTAAACCACCCACAGGAATGTAGAAATAGTATTATTTCATTACAACCCCCTTCCCCCCTTTCCCATCATCTGGAGAGCTTTCCTTAGGTGCTACCTATAAAACAGCTTTATTCGGGTGTAATTGAAGTATGAGGCACAGCATATATTGAAAGAGTCCACTTGCTATGTTCCCATAGGTACCCGCCTGTGAAACCAACACCATGCAGGGGTGGAAGGAGTTCTCCAGGCTTCTAGGCTCTTTGGGCTGTTTGAATAACTAAACTGACCTAAGACACATTGACAAGAGAAAAACAAATTTAATTACCTGTGTACGGGAGCCCCATGAGGATATGAGCCCCACAGGTAGTCAGGCAATGGAAGTTGATCTGAGCTAAGAAGAGAGGACTGGGGTCTGGGACTTCAAAGAGGGAGGAAGACAACTTACAGGAAGGTGGGAAGAGCAAATGTTCAGGGGAAAAAAATGTTTGTCATGCCCTCCAGAGACAAGGGAGCCCAAGATGAATTTGAACAGTCTCTCCTGAGCTCCCCAGAACACCACACCTGCTCGCACTCTTTGCAGTTACCCCTGCTCATCACTCTCCTCCTGGACTGGACCCTCTGTCCAAAGTCTTTTAGGCAGTTAAGTGGGGAGGGGTAAAAAGCTCCTTCTGAGTCTTTTGGGTCTTGATCGTCTTTAGCTCAAGATAATCCATGTGCCCAAGTGGCACATTTTGGGGAGGCTCCTTCTGGACCCCCTCCACCACAGTCAAGACAGGGAACATAGTCTTCATCCAAGAGCATCTTCCACTTCTCTGTAATTCCTTCCCACCACCACTCCTGCTCCCCAGGCACATGCTGTTCTACTTCCAGTGACTATAAATTAGTTTCATTTTCTAGAGTGCTAGATAAATGGAATTATTCAGTCGGTACTTTCTCATGTCTGGCTTTTCATTCAGCATAGTTGTTTCGAGACTCATCCATGTTGTCACAGGTAATAGTCGGTCCTCCTTGTCCTGGCTGAGTAGCATTCTTTTTAGTATATGCTACAGCATGCCATCGCACTCACCTGTGAGCAGACGTATGGCTTGTTTCCAGTTTTTGGCTGTTACAGATAAAACTGCAATAAACAGTGTACATTGGATAGACGTAAACTTTCTCTTTTCCTGAGTAAATACCTATGAGTAAATGTCTGAATTATATGCTAGTGAAGAGTAGCAGAATGTGTCAGCCTAAAATGTGCCTCTTTGGCACAAGGGTTATTTTGAGCTGATTATTTTCAGAAACAGGAGACGAGAGAAGCTCTGAAAACAGAGTAGGCAGTACCCTCTTGTAAGAGAAATTTACATTTATAAAGGAAGCCTTTTGTAAAGACATCTCCGTCTCTTCTAGGAAGCCAATGATGAAGCTAAACCCCAAGTTTATCACTGGAGAAGGCACTGACTTAAATCTGCATAGCAAACCTTTTTGCTTATCATGCTTTTCCTGTTATGTCCCCCTAACTGCCCCAACTCTTGTGTTTTAAGTTGAAGATGGTATTCAAGCTGGAGTTCTAAGCCACCTTGGAGAGTTACTCATTTTTCCTTCGGTATCTCCCATGTGTATCCAAGATATACATGTTAATAAGCTTCTGTTTGTTTTCTTCTTAATCTGTCTTAGTGCAGGAGTCTCAGACAAGAACTCAGAAGGGCAGAGAAAAATTATTTTTCTTCTCCTACAGTAAGCATAGCTTAACTTTCAAATAAACTGCCAAATTGCTTTTTTGGAGTGTCTGTTTTAAATACCCATCAGCAATGTATGGGACTTTCTCCAACGTTTGGTATAGTCTATTTAGTTTTTTTTTTTAATTTCAGCCAATGTAATAGGTATGTAGTGGCATCTCACTGTGGTTTTAATTTGCATTTCCCTAATTATAATTAGCCTGAACATGTTATTCTATGCTTACTCACCAATGAAGTGCATTTGAATGCACCCACTTTGGCACATGGATTATTTTGAGCTGAAGGCAATTGAGAAGTAGCAGACACAGGAAGAACTCTCTTTCTCATCTTCATAAGAATTTTAGAAACAGCTTGTTAATTTCTACAGAAATTTCCATCAGGGTTTTGATTGGGATTGCCTTACATCTATACAGAAATTTGGGGACAATTGATATCTTAACAATATTGGGACGCCAACCCATGAATGAGATATGTCTCTCCATTTATTTAGGACTTCTTTAATTTCTGTAACTTGCACACATATTACAAATATGGAAACAAATCATTATGAGAAGACTGTGAGCCCACAAAGGGAAAGCTACTAAATCCTGCCTGCAGTATCAGAGAAAATTTTGAAGGGAAGGTAATCTTTCTTCTGACTCTTGTAGTAAATACAAGTGAGTTCACAAAGGAAAGAAGCACAGAAACACTGGGGCGTGAGTTAGGATTAAACAATTAAAGATCTATAAGTATTAACAGTTTGACATATTTGAAGTCATCAGTGCACACGGGGGCTGTGAAGAGAGAGACATGGCCAGACCCTGCTCTTAGGTGCTCCTGGAAGATAATCGATCTTTTTCCTGTGAGCGGTGGGGGCTCTTGAAGGATTTGTAGCAGAGGAACAATAAGCATGTTGAAATGATCTCTTCGAAAGTTGAATGACTTGTTTAAATATTTTTAAAGATGTTTATCTTTTAAACTGTATAAACCCCTGGAACAGAAGTCTCCATATTTGTGGAATATCATGTATACTGTGTAAATATTATTTATTTTTGTTTGACTTAAATTTCTTTTTAGCATTACAAAGGACATCTTAGCTCTGTTGACACTGGACTCTGGTGAGCAGGTTTAACCCTAACCCTGAGTGTGATTCTGTGTTGGTCATATTTTCTACAGTTTCCGTTCTTTTCAACATGTTTTCTCATATCATCATTTAACTATAAAAAAGGAGTTCCTTGTTTCCCTTTCTTTGCTGATATGCTCTGTTATAAACTCCCTTATATACTTGAATTCTTTTGTTCCTTTGTAAAGAATTGCCATGTTATCAACATACATCTTGTTCAACTTCTGTAATTCCATGGAGTCCATTTTGCCATAGACAGTGAGGACCCTGCAGGGAAGGTTGACAAGTTAGCTAACACAGGTGTGCAGGTTAACAGTTGAGTTAAGGTTTAGAGACAGTAACATCCAGCTTTCTGAATCCTCAGTCATGTGTCTTTTTCACTTTCAAGTTTCAGTTAATTTATGCTCTTTCAAAGAAAACTGTTTTTTTTTCTCTAGTTAAATATTACTTCTTCATATTTTCCCTCTTCCTGTATGATTTATTTTGGTTGTTGACTCTTTTTCCTTCTCTCACACTGAACATCTGATTTTCCTATCTGAGCAGGTTCCTCGTTGACCTTAAAACAAACAACTCTTTTCCCCACCATATATCTACTTTGTTTGACTCTCTTAAAGAAGGTGAAAAAATATTTCTGATTAGACCTAACACTTCTGTTTACCCAGATAATTTCAAATACAATGTTTCCTAAAGCGACTATTCGATCTTAGAACACATGTCCCCAGGCTAAGCAGTGAGGGTAAATTTGACAAATTCTACATCTTCCTTGCAAACATATTGCTTACCCTCTTTAACCTTCTAAACATTTGACGCCAGCCTTGGATTGTATCTTCATGCCTAGCGTAGTATATTCCTGCTTTTTCGTAATCAAGTCTTGCCCGACTTTAATTTCTCAAGTATAGAAATCTGGATTTACTTAGCGCATCACTGAATTGCACTTTGATCATTGGAATGTCTTATTACATTTGACTAACTTGCATTAACTTGCTGCCTACCTTCAGTTCATATAAATCAATCTCAACTTGATAAAAATTCAGGTCTTTTGAAACTAATTTTCTAATATGACTTCTGGAATGATTTGGGTCTAAAGAAATCTCTGCTTATATTGTAAACAGTTGTCATGAAATTGAGTAATATGTAGATGTGTGTAAAGGTAATGAGTAGTTAAGGTTATTTGTTTTTTCCTCATAGTATTTTGGATAAAGGTCAAAGAAGGTTGCTTAGATTAGAGTGGGTTCATAATCATTGTCGTATGATATTTGTTGAAACTTTCAACTAAGTGAGATAGACTAAACTATAAATCAAATATAGTTCTACCTGAGATTAAGGCAATCACTGTAAATAATAAATCAGCCTTGTCCTCTCGATTACACACTTCCAGATATCACGTTGGACTTGACCTCATTGTATTCAAACAGATGTACTAGCTTTAGGGTGACACAGTCTGAACATAGTAGTAACATGAGTTTCAGAGTCCTTTAAAGTATGCAAATCTTTTGAAGTATTTTAGAGTTAATTGCCTAAAAAATAAACAGACCATGACAATATTTTACTATAAATCCAAAAACCATTTTAAATGAACCAATGTTTTACAAATCATAACGGTACCCTCATATATTTTAAGTAGCAATATGCATATACGAGGCATAAAACCTACTTTTTCTTTTATCTACAGACAATGTTTGGAGCCAATGTGGGTTCCAGACACTGTGGATGATTTTGTGTTCAGAAGGCAGAGTTTTCACTCTCCTCAGCCCCATTGAGTTGTACCTAACTGGACTGCCCACAGGCGACATTTTGCTACGAAGAGTTCAAGGGAATGGCTCAATTCATGGAAATAGATTTGTGGCACTTCTGTATAAATCCAAGGAATTCTAGAAACCAAGCCAAGTCAACCACTGTGAGTGGGAGCCAATGATAAGTGAAAATAGCTCTTCAGGCCCCTGAGTGCTACTTGGCATTGAAAAGCCACTGTTTGATTTATATCATCTTTATGTTTGTACAAGATTAAAATTCCTTTTTTTTTCAAATATACTTTGAAGAACAATTAACAATCTCTTTAAAATAACTGAGGAAACGCTGGGGAAAGTGTTGTGCCAAATTATTCAAGGCAAAGGGTAGAAGCTTTTTTCTGCCTTGTGTCATATTTTGATCTCAATGAGCCATTTATTTTTCCCTTTTAGGAATTTTAGGTTAAAAAAAAAGATTTAACTATTTCATGAAGTATAATGTCTACATACCCCTGAAAATTTCAAGTACTATCACTTTTCAATGTATTCTTCTTAAAACAGATGTTTTAAGAACACACGCCATGATGCATTTAAAACAAGACAATGAGGGGTAGATGGAAGCTACTAAAATCAGGGCAAATCTTCACAAATCCTCTTCTACCTTCTCCTTCTCTCCTACTTGATTCTAAATATATTTTGAGGAATTGTTAAATGTAGTACTATTTTATCAAGAATACAGGCGCACAGGAAACACCCCCACCCCATATATTTAATTTAAAATCTACAAAAGCATTTTATTTAACCAAGGTAAGATATAATGCAATGCAATGGACTTTAAGGAAAAGGTAAAATCTAAGATTTTTATTTAGGTTTCAGTTTTTTGCAAGGGATGCTTTGTAAGTTTAGATATTTGCGAGGATTTTCTTAAACTAAATAACTTACACATTTGGGGAAAAAATTGACTACCTACTTCATGTCAAACATAAAACTAATTTCAGATGGATTGTTGACCTAAATATAAAAGGTAACACAATAAAGTTTCTGGAAGGAAATGTACAATAATTTTCTCACATCCTTAGAAGAGGAAAAGGTTCCTTGAACAAGACATAAAAACCACTGGTGTAAAGAAAAATATTGAGAAATTGGACTATATTAAAATGAAAAACTTTGTTTATCAAAGGGCACCATTATGAGATCGGTTAGCCTACAGACAGATCGGGACTAAAGATCTGTAACTTATTTACCTGACAAAGAACATGAGTTGCAAATACTGAAAGAACTCCTAGAAATCAGTACGAAAAAGCTGAACCACCAAGAGAAAAACAGGCAAAATAGTTGAACAAGAACATCACAGAAGAGGATCTCCAAACGGCCATAGTGATGGAAAAATGTCTAACCTATTTCATCACCAAGAAAATGAAGACTAAACCCACAGGGCAATATCAGTACACATGCACCAGGGTAGAGTTGCCAAATTTAGCAAATAAAAATATGGAAATCCTAGACATAGGTGAATTTCAGACAAACCGTGAATAATATTTTTGATGTATGTCCCAAATACTGCAAATGTTAAGTAGAAGACCTGTATTTTATCTGGTAACAGTAAGAAAAAAGGATAAAATGGAAATGATTAGCAATGTCGAGCGCCAGTGGCAACATGGGGCCCTTGGAACTTTCCAGCACCGCGGTGTGGAGTGGCGTTAGCACAAAAGCTCTTGGGAAAACTCTTTTAGAATAGTTATTAAATTCCAACACAGTAAATCTTAGAACTCAGCAGTTCCTCTCTATGGAATAACCAAAAGACAGGCACACAGACGTTCCCACACCCTTCTTTGTGTCAAGCTGTTTTCAAAAAATCAACACAAAATAGATGCCGATTAATCATGATGTGGGCAAATAAATCATGGTAGAATGACACAATGGAATATTAAACAACGGTAAGGGGGAACAGATGCGTGCTGGGCTCCACACTTCGCTAACGCTTCAAAACGCAGTGCTGAATGAAAAAAAAGCCAGACTCGACCCAGTACACAATCCAGACGGATCCATTTGTTGAAGTTCAAAGGCAAGCAGAGTAAATGTCCATGTGGGAAATCAAGGTTACGAGGAGGAGAGTTGTGGCTGGGAGGAGGCGCTGGGGTTGGGGGGAGATTTGAAAATGTTCCATTTCTCGATCTGAATATTAGTTACCTGGGTGTGTTGATTCTGGAAAACCATCATGCTGTACCGCCTTCGACTTGTGCAATTTTTTTGTGCAGGTTTGTCCTTCAGTAAAAGGTTTGTTTTCTTTTCTTTTCTTTTCTTTTTTTGTTAACTAAACCATTCACAGAGTCAGGAATTTGTTTATAGTAATAGAAAATTATTTGTGAGACAGGTGACAACGTCTTTGAGGTCAACCCCCTGGGAAGGCACCTGCGCCTCTGCTCCGGGCAGGGGCCTCCACATTCCCCCTGTCCCAGCTCCCGGAGGAGAGGCAGAAGTGACTGATCTGGGCACACACTCCAGCGGCACGTGTCAGCTTGTGGGAAATAACTGTCCCGCAGGCGCGGGTCACTGTGCTGTAAATCTGTCTCCTTCACTCTGCTTTAAACATTCCCCCTCTGGGGTGCTCTCTCTAGTTTGTGTCCTTTGTCTGAATTCCAAGCAGTCAGCTGGGATTTGGCTTGGCTTTAAAGTTTAAATGTTTCCTCTTTGTCTGCGTGGGCTTCAGGCTTCATTCTTGTTAGCACTTAGGATAATCTGAACGGATAACCATACGCTTCCTCCAGCCTGCACCCTGGATGCTGTTTTTCCAGGATGCAGTGAGACTAAAAGCATCATAGTGCAGAGAAGGAACGTTCCCACCCAGCCGTGTAACTATGGGGCTCCTTTATCTCAGGACAGGAAAGAAAGAATTTACCATTGAGACTCAACTATTTATCATTAACATAAACTCTAATAATAATAATAATAGTTACAATAAGAATCCAATGTGTTATTGCCGCTGGTATGTAGTCCTGGCCTCTTGCTTGTTTGGAAACAGATTTCTAGTCTTCTGTTGGCTCTTCCTAAAACTCCCCAGACTTTAATTATTATTTATAAACTTAGGAACGACCCTTAGCTTCATATCCTCTCCATGACTCTTTCCTGATCTTCTATAAACTTAAGTACAAATCCTTTGGCATACATGTTTTTTTCACGTGGTGAAGGCTCTGGACTCAGACAGACTTGTCTGAGTACCCGGGCTCCCAGACTTTCTAGCTGTGTGAACTTAAGCTGGTTGTTCCGTGAGCCTCTTTAACTCTGGTGTTAAAAATGATCCTGAGATCCAGAGTACGGAGTTCTGGCTTGATTACATGAAGCTTAAGGCACTTACTGCTTTGCTGTGAGTGCAGGAGACTCAGACAGCGCTGGTTCCTGCCCGTCAGCCTTCCTCTTCCATTCCTACCCTTACACTCACTGCTTAGCCGGTCATTCCCAAGTTCATCCATGAACGTCCTTCAAGTGTATCGATTCTGTGATCATGACAGCAACACATTCATAGCTGACTGAACCTTTACTTCCTGCAGGAATATCTTCGAATGATAATCTTGGAAGATATTTATTGAATCTCTTGCATGAAACATAGGCAAACAGCAGCTGAATGAAACGATGAGGGGTGTTTCAGAAAGACAGATCACCTGGCAGGTGAGGGCACATGAGGCGGGTTCTGGGGGAGCACAAGAGAAGAGAGGGCATCCCAAAGCAAAGGAGGGTGGTGTCAGAGGGTTAAGCAGAACGTTCCTCCCTGACTCTTCTTGTGACTCTTTCCCAAGGAGAATGCACCAAACTTCCAAAACTATTGTTTCATTTTCCCCCAATATTCCCCTTTGACTCCCTCCCCATGATAGAAACAAACAAAAAAGTTACAGGTACATAATAAATATATATTTATTGAATGAGTTAAATAAACGTATGAAATAATGACCAGGACAGGCCATGTATAAAGCATATGGATTTGGGTACAAGAGGAAAACAGGCTTAAATCCAAGATCCACCCCTTCCTAGTTGGAACATTTAATTCAGGTACTTTGCCTAAGGCTAGGTTTCCTAATGTGCCAAATGGAGGTAAAAATACCTGTCTTGGAGGACTGGCGTGAGGATGGAGATGATGTTTACAAGGTCTTTGGCACATTGCCCGGTAGTGTTTATTACTAATCCATCCACCACTTTAATTAAGACTCACTCATCTCCTGTGTCCACGTCACGTCTCACCATCAAGTACGGATCCTTTATTTATTTATATATCCAGTCATTGATTCACTCAAGTATCGTTGACATACACTATTCTGTTAGTTTCAGGTGTACAGCATAGTGATTTGATATTTGCATAGGTTAGACACCACACAAAATTATTATAAAATGCTGACTACGTCATCATTAGCACTTTGTACCTCTTAAACCCCGTCACCGATTTTGCCCCTCCTCAGTGCTTTCTCCCCACTATTCTTCTATTGAATGAGAAGGAGACCCCAGACTTGAATTCCAAAATGACACTAGGCTGCCCCTCAGAGACACGTGCTCCCTCTTTGCTTTCAAGAGTCTGGGTTTGCAGACTTTTTCCAACGTGGAAGCTTTTGAAGTCACTGCCTCACTCCTTCTCAACCCCCAGGAGTTATAGAACCCCCTCAGCTCCTTCTCTGAAGAACTGGAAAAAACTGTCAGTTCCTTTATACTCAGTAGCCCTGCTCAGGGAATTGCACTGCATTTAAGTTATCTGCATACCCTTCAAACTACAGATGAAAATAAACACTGCAGGGTCTAATGCAGTCACCCAACAAAAAAAATCTCCCTGGGCTGTTAAAATCAGGATATGTGGTTCATTTTGTTGCAGTTTGTTTCTGAAACCTCGCTTTTTTATGAGTGAGCCCCATCTTCTGTCACGTTTATACAATTCAATAAAAATTGTGGCGTGTTGCAAACAAATATTTCTGAAAGCAGAATACAGCATTTTCGCAGAAGACAGAGCTCCTTTGATGATATTTTCAGTTGTTTTTGACCAGAAAATCGATTTGAGGATAAACTCTGTCTAATACTTTGCAGTACAAACTTCTTTCCCCTCTTTTTTGGTCATTTCCGTAACTCGAAATGTTCTGCTGTTGATGGTACGTGTGTAACCAGCCTGACACCAGCAGGATTTGAACCAGTGCAAACATAAAGTGACTCTGCTCCTTCTCCCTAAATGCTGCCTTTGACTTAATCTGTGAAATCATCCCCTTCTATTTCTGGAAGAAGATTCCACAGCTTTTCCGGGCAGTCTTAGGAATTAATGATTAGTATGATTTTTTTTAGCAAGTAGGAAGTGCCATCCAGCCAGAAAGAAAACCATCGATATCTCAACAGATTTAAATCTCTCCTTTTCTAGTTCAGCTCCACTGCAGAAATATCTGTGGAAGGAAGATACTGGGTTGTTTGTTTAGGGTTTTTTTTTTTTTTTGCACTGTTTCCGATCTTTATCTTTTGCTTCTTTCCCTCCACTCACCAGGAGTTGGGTGTGGAACTGGAGACTGGGCACCATGGACATCAGAGGGCACTGATTCTTACCTGCTCTGTGCAGTTATAATCTTGCCACAGAGTCCAAGTGGCAGTTCCAAATGCCGGCGGCTTCTCTTGTGAGCCATCTGGCGGGCTCTTTGAAGTTCCCCCATAGGAAGCCCCATCGGCCGTTTCCTGGGGTGGGCAGCATCCATCTCAGCGGGTCCCCTTTGATGCTAGCCTCGGTCCCTGGCTTCTGGCAGCCACGCCACACTGACTGCATTTGTTGAGTCACTTAATTCTAGGCAGTGCTCCTGGGTGTCTCTCTTCCAGGGCGGCCCGAGCTCGGAGCCTTTCTTAGGGCTTCACCATGTCTACGGAAGACCCGGCCCGCAGCTCTGGGACAGCAGACCGGGCTCCAGGCACCTCTTGGCTGGTGGCCACAGATTACTCTAGGAGACCTCTTGTCTCCAGATCCTCAAACATGAGTCAGACACCAGACAGCATTCCTCAACTTCCCAGGGACCAGGGATCATTCCTAATTCATCCTCCTGACTTAGCGAAGGGGGCTGGGGCCAGGGGCGGGAAGGAAAGCATCCCTGGGGTGCTGTCCTGCTGAAAATCTCTGAAGACTGAAATTCAGGTTCTGCCGTCTCAGTTTTCAAGCCTCTTTTTATGTACACTTGAGAAAACAAATTAAAAAATGAAGGATCATGGGACTTTTTTAAAACATCGTATTAGTAAGTTTCGCACAGGTGCTGGAAATTCTCCTTGGACCACGTGGCTCCTTGAAATTCTTTGTTCTCAGCCATGGAGGCTCAGCTGGGAATAAGACAACAAATGTGTTTTGTACGTATGTAATAAAACCTGTGCCACGCGTGGCTGAGAGGTCTTACAGCACATTTCTGATAGGTAAAAATTAACCATAATACATTTAAAATTTAATGATAAAAACATTTACTAATGCGAGTAT